GAGACTGAGTGGATAAGAGACTAAAATTTAATTTTATGAAAAAGAGAAAATGTCCTCCATCTTCGCGAGCTTTTTCAGGTCCGCTGGGGGTTTGGAGCTAATGAGCCACAGTGTGGCTGGAGCCCCGTTATATCCCAATTATGAGTTTAAATACGGAGTTAAGTTACAAAGTGCTGATGTAGATCCCGGTGGGATGGGGATATTGTATATCAGAAACATCTACTACGGGCATGTTTGATGTGGCATTATCAACTGAGCCAATGATTTTTGTGGGTGGTGGAAAATAGCTGCATATGACAACTCATTCTGTACTAGGGAGTTAGCCAATGGATTAATAGATGGAAAGAAAATCCTCTTGGAATTAGACGACAGGTATCGATTAACTTCTTCAACTCGGAGAGATATACAAGGAGAATCAAAAAGAAAGCACGCGAAAGAGAGCGAAACAGTACCCCCAGTTAGCCTATCATCCAGTCCCGCAAAACACACACACACGCTCTCTCTCTCTCTCTCTCTCTCTCTCTCTCTCTCTAATCATACAATTCTCTCGGCTTCGTATGATCCCGCTTCAAACTATGCGGAGCCGTAACCTTAATCCCGCTCTCAATCCGTGACAGCGTCATGTCATACCCCTTATAATCGCACCAGGACTTAGCCATCTTCGCCGCATTCTTGATCTCTCTCCCATTCAGCTGCCACATGGACAACTCCTTCAAATCTTCGCCCGTAATATCTTTCATTGCGCTTCTTACTTCTTGCTCCCCACCTGCTTCTGATTCTACTTCAGCAGGGCGCGGCGCCATGGGCGGCATCCTTTCCAGAAATTTCCGCCAAACGACCTCGCGCGTTTCTGGCGTGAGGGGGCTGAATAGAAGGTGCAGATTGAGGCGTGATCGGAAGGCAAGGTCGATGGTTTCGTACAGATTGGTCGTCAGGAAAATGATGCCTCTATAATATTCGATTTCGCGCAGGAAGATCGAGACGAGTTCGTTGCGGGCGATGTCATTGGGGTGGCGCTCGGACATGAACACGTCGGCTTCGTCGAGTAGAATTACGGCGTCCCAGTCGATTGCCATTTCGAAGACTCGCTTAATGTTCTCGCCAAGCTCACTGGCCATGATTCCCAAGTCCTCAGCTTGGAGATAGAAGAGGGGCCGGCGGCATCTGTCGGCAACTGGTTGTACATACATCAGTTTAGCGGCTGCATGTTTTACTCGTTCAGGGAAAAGATAAAGATATATTGAAGACTTTGTACTCACCAGCCTCCGCGGTCAACGTTTTCCCAGTGCCAGGAGGGCCGCTCAGGAGAATATTCAGCCCCTGGCCTAGAGAGTTGGACAGTTAGTATGAGCCTCTCTCTTCCAAATTGTGATTTCCAACCAACCTTTCCCTGCGATAACGTCATCATGCTGGCGTTGTGTGCCATGGTGATTCTCAACAAAAGATAGAACCAGATCCTTCTGTTGTTGGTCGTACACCAGATGGCCGTAAGCTTCGTCGTTCCATTCCACAGGTTTGAGCTCGTCAACGTAAAACATCACTTTAAACAGTCTCAGCTAATGTTACTACCAGTCCCTTTCTATTGGAAAACTTACACCATTTTTTGTTTCTCAACGCGTATCCGTGAACTATATGCTGCAGGAGAGCCAAGTCATCACCAATTTTGAGCATTCCCTCCTTGTTCTTGTGCTGTTCTTCCTCTGAAAGATATACTTTGGTGGTGGTGGATGACGAGGCACTCTCGTGGAGCGTCCCTTGGCTAGAGGCGGGATCATTATGATCCACATCTTCGAGGGGCGTGGAGGCAGGTTTTAGTACTAGCTTCTTTCGATACTCAGGGTCTTTCGTTTCTTTAGTAGGCTCTTTTAATTCATACTTCTTGAATCCCCTAGTGTCGACAAGGATTCTGCTATCAACCTAAACAAGACATCAGCGGGGACTTTTCCGAACGCAATGCTCAGGTACCTTAGAAGCATACATTGTGCCTTCTCCCTTTGCAATCCAAAGCAATGTCCGTGTAAGTCTTGTAACGAAGGGCTTGTAGGTCAAGAACGCCTGTAGCTCTAGCCTTCAGCCTGGCAATGACGGCATCTGGTTTTTCATGGAACCGCATGGGGTAATGAGGAAGATCGGTAATGGGCATATTTCCAGTGAAAATGGGAAGATCCAAAGTCACATCTTCCCAGATAAAATTCTCGCCATCGAAGACTATAATCTTGCACTTGATGAAAAGCGCCCGCACTAACCCTCCCTTTTCGTACCTCGTTTCCACAACTTTTGTTAGAACTTCGCGATTGTTTTCCCAACTGTACACGTAGGCACCCTTCGGAAAGTAGGCCCATGCAAGACTCCACGACACGAGACCGCTGTCTTGCAAGCGTTTCACACGGAGTTTGGTTTGGGTAAACATATCTCCCATGATTTTCACCAGGAGTTCAAGATGAACTTTGAGAGGACTATCTTGTTCTGTGCTCCTATACAACTCAGAAATCTCGTCCGATCGAAAATATAGAGCGCTGAACGGTTCCTCGAACCTCGCAGCTTCGCTCCCTTCGAGATAAATTTCATCCTCTTTCAGGATATCCTTGAGCGCTGAGACAAGGATTGGGCTTTGGATATCGATGGCGTGGTATTTGAGGCTGAAGCGACCAGATATTACCGGTTTGGAAGTATCCTTGGCTTTGTAAACGACGATTGCCACACGGTCGTTATCCTTGGCAGCTTTTTTGCTCAGTTGCTGCCGTGGTGGATAGTCCTGCCAGTCATAATAGGTACTGGTGCTATTTTTACCCTCGTATAGTGTCTTAACAACAGCAGACGATCCCTGCTCTACCTCCTTCTCGGGTGAGGCAGGGGTCTTTCGAGGTTTGGAAGACACGCCCGAAATGGTGAGATTTGACATTTCATTTTGCCCGGCACCTGTCACCTTGCATCTCCACCTCCAGAGGGTTTCGGAAACATCCACCTTCATTTTGGAGGGAGCGAGTATGCAAGAGCTGGAAAACTTAAAAGGGAAGCAAGTCAATGTGTAGCTATCGCACGAATTAGCAATCGGAAAGTTTGCCTCAGAGAAGCAGTCGCAGGGACTATGTGACAGCTATACGTACGAAGTGGCAGACAGGAACGAAGTCGCCCACAAAATAATTTAGAAATATAAATTTACCCAAGGTATAGCAAGAAAGTAGGCGGCCATGAAAAAACGAAAGGGAGATGGCGAGTCTTTATCTTGCCAGCCTGGTCTGGACAGCGGAACAGAGCCCGTACCTCAATGGCGCATTGTGAACGCGGGGTTTGCGAAGGATTCGCTGTTCATTCCAGGAAGCTTTCGAAGCTGCTTGAGCCGGGATGCGCCCAGCACAACAGCTATTGGATGACGGGAGTCATCACAAATAATTCCGAGGCAGGATCCCATTGCCTGGCAGAACGCCGTGTGGTGCTGTCCATTTCTCTGGTGACTCGTATTGCATCGCGAAAGCGGGAACTAAGCTCCCAGGAGGGACAACACGAAGGGCGTCTTCCAAGGTTGAATTGCAAGCGAGAGCTCCAGGCTGTCACTTTCGCGGCAACTTTGTGGCTTGCTGTGGCTTTGCGGGTGAAGCCCCAGGGGCTAACAGAGCTGTGAAAAGGCTTGCTGGGATCTCTAACAGCGTCGTAGCCTAGCAACTTAGCTGCATAGCTAGCTGGCTGCACCCCGAGCTAGCGAGATCCGTGAGACAAGAAGTGAACCGGATGCTTGGTGCCTAGGGAAAGAGGCCGGGAATTTCGCCCTTGACAAGGCTTCTATAAATTTTGTCATGATGTCACGCAGGGTGAGTTCAGCCAGCAGCTTTTCTGCAAGGTGGTTCCAAGCATTATCTCGGCAATATTGTGATCATCTCAAGAAGTTCTCCGGACGGTGGTGGTTAGCTAGCGCATTCTCATCCCGCGATAAATCCAAAAGACAGAACAGAGACCTCCGTACATCTGTCTGTCTGCCTAGCTGGATACAAAATCTCCGCGGGTTGTCGATGGCATCGCAGGATTTTGCTAAACTTGTCCTTAATTACTACTCCGTACAGTGCTTTAAGCGAGGTGCAATTCTCACGTTTATAAAAATAGCTACAATCAACCAACCTCCGCCCTGACTCTCTTGATGAAATTAAACAACCCAGAGCAAGGATGACAAAGGGAGCAAGAAGAGCAAATAAAATAACAAAATATCCTCTTTTTGCAGACATACATAGTTTTTGTGGCTTGTGCACCACTGTCTGAATATACTCCGTATTTATCAACTAGCTGACCGACCTGGTCATAATAATAATAATACATGAAATGGATAGGTTGACCTTTTGATGATTTAGTATTTTTTTTGCATTGGAACTCCAAGGAAGGTAGGAAGTTGAGGAATGTCCACTCTGACTAGATCATGCTAGGTACTAGACTATGAGAATCAGCAGCAGAAGAGAATGGATTTCTTTTTAATCAGCCAGAAGGAGTGAGGGGCTAGATATATGAAAGAATCCATTACTCGAAATAATCTGTTAAAAGGCATTGAGTATGACAGGCGTTAACTTTAATTAAATAGGGAGAACGTAACTAGCCCTTCCGAACCAAAAATATGCTAAAAGTCAATCTAGCTAGAAACCTGATACGTCTGAGCCACCGCACTCCCGCATTCAAATGTACGGCGAATTGGGTACATCAACTAGACCAGGTAACAAATAATGACTGCACATCATCACTAACAGATTTCCGCGTTTGCAGAGTCAGTTAGTGGCGGCATATCAAAGCCAGCAACTTCAGTGTCTGCGCATCCGGATGCTCATGAACAATCCTCAGCGTCTTTCCACAAATTGTTTTTGCGTTTCTAGGGCCACGTGGTACGAACATCCTCAGGTCATCATCAACATACAGTGTAAAGACTGGGTGCTCCTTCTCGACGATGGTGAATTGGCAGTCCTGAACGGGACAAGGCCATATCGCAGATTCGGAACCTTGAACTGGTACTTTTGATCCTTCTTTCATGCCGGGCTCGATTTCAGGGTGAACTGTCGCTGGGGGTTTCGACATTCGGCCCCAGAATGAATACCACCTCCCGTGTTAACGTTGCTAGAGTCCACTTTATTGCCTTGAAGCAAAGAATTGTATCGCCGGCTATCATCACCAAACCCCGCGAGTGTCCCGCACGGCCTCTCTTCGTCCAGTGCCGTCGATTGTGAGGGCATAACCATCGTTCGGTTGCCTGAGGCGAGATAGGGTTGATACCGGCCCCGCAACAGGGACATTTTCTCTCTGTAGTATTTGCGAAAATTCCATATGCCGGTCGTCACTATAATCGATAAACTTCGGGGAATATCGAAATTTCCCATCGGGACCCCCGTGATGGCTATATGTTCGTTCTCCTGGATAATTTTTACCGTGGAATGCTCCAGAGTGGGCCTCCGCTCTTCGCTAGCACGGAATTGACCACTCTGCTTTGATCGCGGATTTGTACCCCGGACTTTATTGCGCTGGAAGACGTTGTCTCTAGGGCCTTCATTGGATCTACGCGCAGCAAAACTTGCTCCTCGATCTTGCCGGATATCCTTGAAAGGATATCTAAAATGGGTCTCTGGACTGTGATCTGGAGAATGTGGCTGCCTATCCAACGGCGGGTAACGGAATAGCTTGTTGGATCCTGCATTGTTGGTTTGAACAGATCCGTGATCCGTTTTCGAGTGTTCCGAGCCTTGCAGCTGTGGCTCCTCCTTCGTCAAGTCCGGTATTCGAGAGTTATCATCAAGTAGCGGCACCTGAAATATTCATCTTCAATCTTTTGTTGCGTGCGATTGCGTTTATCGGAGGATCGCTGTGACTGCGTAACATCCTCTAGATGCCCTGAGAATATTTCTTGAGTGTACGGAATGACATCGAACTCTTCGTCACTGACACTGTCCGCCTGGCCTCTGATACTACTAGGACTTCGGAGGTGAGTAGAAGGATATTTCCCTTGAGCAGAAAATAGCCCGCTCGCTAGATCTACGACTTGAAGTCTCCTTTAGAAGCGGCGATTGCGTATCACTGCCGGAGCGTGATATATTTGCACTATTATTTCGCCCGGTTTGGTTTTGGGCGGCCCGAGTCCGGGAAACTTGAGCAGTTTCGGGTTCGACGCGAGCAATGAATTCAAGCTGCTCCATAAGGTCCTCATCGACTTTTCCATCCTGTTGCCCCGTAGGATCCGAAACTTTCGAAAAAGTATGGTTGCGGGTTGGTGTAAACTCCTCGTCGATTTGGTCTCTGGCCAGATATGAGCGAGGAATTTCGGTGGGAACTTTTGAGGTTTTTAACCCCCTGTTTTGCTAAGGATTGTCCCTCATCTTGAAAATTTTGTAATGTTGGTAGGTAGTGATGTGCCTCAGATTTAAGGATGAGCCAATGTCGTAAACGCTTCCATCCTTTGTGATGCGTCAACCTTAACCAGCGATGTAATATAATCAGCTCCATCATTACTGGTGTTGTGTGAATGTAGCTTGTCAACTGATAACCCCTTTTTATCGCTGCATATAGCAAACAAGTTCTACCGAGGTACAGGGTTTTGCAGAGTTAGTAGCCAGTAGGCTAGGCTCCCCAATGCGCACATATCCACTGCTTTGGTGTACTGGCCTGCATCTGAATCGGGTCGGGCCATGAAACTACCATCAAAACTAATGTAGAGAGCTGCTGAATCTCCTGGCACTCGCTTGGAAATTCCCAGGTCTGCAAGCTTCACCCACCAGAAGGGCGACTTACTAACAAAGACATTCTATGCGCACTTGTTATAAACCAGAAGACGAAATATTTCTTGAATCGCATCAGTAGAAGACTTACCGCTGGCTTTAGGTCGCGGTGAGTGAATCCTCTCGCATGCATGAAGCAAATAGCTGTTTAGCTGGAAATATTTCATAGCGATGTATAGGTGCTTATCGTTCTGGAACCACCCTTCGAGGTGAACGAAATGGGCCTCATTCTGTTCGAAGTATTTCATATCGGTGAACAATCTAGCCTAAAATCAATTGGGGAAGAATCAAGCTTCTGTCGTACCTTGGAGAACGCAGCCATTGCCGTGATTCCACAAAGTGAGTCTATAGCTGCTGCCTTCTGCCCCAGAGATTTGGGAACCTCTTTCACTGCCCTCTGATTACCACATTCATTGTCCTTGAGGTAGACAATGCCAAAACCTCCTCTCCCAAGCTCCTTTGCACGCTTCTATGTTCTCGCTTCTACCGCATTCCGGAGCCCTCCTGTCCGGTCAGAAAAGTGTCGCCGTTGACAATGTAACATCGAGTTTCGTTCCCCGTTGAAGAATGCTGACCCCACTTGGGTCCAAGTGGATCCATGCGGGGAGACAAGATCTCATCCAAGAACCCTAACGTTACCAGGGGTGTGGCAGTATCAAAAATAACGACGCGAATGGAAGAGAGTTAGACAGCTCAAAATTAGAGTTCTGAGTCGCTGGTTGGTTGTCACTGGACTGGACTGGCTTCTAAGGAGGTTGGTTTAAGAATCAGCCCTTGAAAAGCACTGAGAGTTTTTATAAACAAAAATAAAAATAAAAACTCTCAGCTATATATCTCATCATATAGCCCATTTATAACAGAAAGAAATCGACCATATTCATGCCCACAAAACCTGAGGTTGTCTGTGAAATCGCAAATTCTTTTACATGTCTGGTGGAACAGATTGATGGAGGTGACAGCAGCTGGAGAACTTGCGATAAGGTTCATCCATAAATCATACACCAAAATGTCTTCCAGAAGTTAAGCCAGTTAACAACTCATGGCAGGTACAGAAAACATATCATCAAGTTCATCCAAGTGTACAAGAGCACTGAGAATGGCTTGAGGGACCTTGTCCTTTGTGTGTTGAAGGTGTCTGACTCAAACCTGAAATACAAATTAATGTTATTCTAGACCTCAACATATCCAATCACCACAGGCTATAAAGTTTTCAGAAGGAATGCCTGGACACACTGAGGGCAAAATTACACAATGCCCTCCGTGCTGCTGGAGAGCTACACTGGTTCTAATCATTCTCAAGGCATCGCGGTGGGCCGTCTCTATCGGGACATTGTTGGCCTGAGTAAGCGCACCAAGGCAAAGTACAGTCTGCTTAAACAGCGACTAGAGGGCCTGATATCGGACCTTGAACAGTGGCATTCAATATTCGATCCATCCGGGTACCTCCTAACACGGCTTGTTAGCGGCAAAGTCGATGATTGTACTCAAGCAGACGGTGGGGGAAAGTTCCCATGGCGCAAACAGTCACAACCGTCCAGGAAATTAGAGCAATTGTTCATTCCTCTTCACCCACACCACTTAGACCCTGATCAAAGCTATCATCAATCCTGTCTACAGATTACCTATCAAATTACCGTGAACTGGCAGGTGGCTCCTCCCTGTGCCTCGCAACCGCTGCACAAACTGCGCAAACAGTACTACTGGACCACACAGCATATCAGGATGCTGTAGATCCAAATATCGTTCTCAGCCAAGTCAAAGAGATTTCACAGCTTTTATCCATTTCGGACCCGTTTTCCCTCGGCTTCTTGAAATGTCTGGGCGTATTGCGGTCCAATAATAGGCAATTCCAGTATGTACTCTCACTTCCACGACAAGTCTCTCCTCAAACCCACGCTCTCTTCTCCAGCAACAACAAGAGAACAACAGCCCATCCCTAGATGCAAAATTGCGAATCAGCAAATCACTCTCTCGAGCAATCCTATCGCTCCACACCGCCAACTGCGTGCACAAGAACATCCGGCCCGAAACCATAATCCTGCTGCCAGAAAATATAGGAGAAATGAGCCAACCCACCTGATCGGTTTTGAGCAATTACAGCCCTCATCGGGCCACTCAGCCCGATTCGCGGACGTGGTCTGGCATTGAAATCTGTACAGACACCCACACCGCCAGGGTCTCTGACCACAGGAGTACTACAAGATGCAGCACAACATCTATAGTCTAGGCGTCTGTTTGCTGGAAATCGGCCTATGGACGTTTTTTGTTGAGCTCGCTAGCGGCTCAGATGAGGAGCCTTGCCCACGTGCATTGCTGGACATTTGCCTGGAGCTTGGCATAAGGAATAAACCACAGGCGGCGTTGAGGATCAAAAGAGAAGCTGGTGGCTCACGCGAAAATTAGGCTTCCTAGCCTTATGGGCCAGACGTACACGGATGTGACACTGTCGTGTTTGACGTTGTATGATGAGAGCGGCATACTGGTTGGTGTTGCTTTTATGAAGAAAGTTCTTGTGAGGTTGGAAGGTATCAGAGTTTGGACGATGCGTATTTAATCTTGATGAGTTAATTCCCCCTGGCGATTTTTATTCTTTTCTATTTGAACATAGTAGAATTGTGTTTCCATGCTGAAGGTTGAAGCCGGTGGTGGAAATTGCGTGGTCACGTGGTTCGCATAAAGGGGTCTGCCTAGGACTCCATGAGCAACCCAGACCATAGTTAAAGGTTTTAGTATCTATTCATTTATCTATCAGTCCCATTATCATTCGATGCAAAACATTTCAATATTTGGAAACCAGTCTGTCACACATTTATGTTGAATAAAGTCCAAAAAAAAGAGCTGCCTGAACTGATATAAAAAGGGGCGTGTCAAGCTTGGGGAAGCACAATACCTGTAGATAGATAGGTAGTTTTCCGTACACTCGGACTCATCGATTCCGGATTAGTGCCTGAGCCCGCGCTGCTTTTCCTCCTGCTGACTCAGCCCTGCCTCCCCTGAGCCTCACCTGCGACCTCACCATCCTCACCTGCAGCAATCACCCCCCTTGGCCTCTCCACCGGTCACCTCAACCTCATCTTTCATTATATCTGCTCGATTTCTGTCAAGTCTACGCGATGCAACCGCCCGGTGGCCAAAACAGTGAGGATGGCGGTTGCAGACATCTTGTCCCCCTCTCACGGTTTCCCGTCTTCTTCTTTATTCCCCTCATCTGCTGCTGTATTTCTACTGAACTACCTTCTACTGGATTATCTTCTACTGGATTATCTTCTGCTGGATTATCTTCTACTGGAGATATCTGCTGCTTGTAGTCTTTCCATGATCTTCTGTTTCTGTTACCTTTCTTTCCTCTATCCATAGTGTCAATCTTTTTTCTGTGCTCTTTCATGTTTCAGATCCCTAATTCCTCGCAATGCCCTCAAAGATAACTGAGGAAGAGTGGGAGCGCAGATTGCAGGCTGGAGGTGGTCTGCCTGATAGGCTCAAGTTAGCTGGGAAGCGAGTCCTGAAGAAACTTGACCCTTACACGGAGAAGAAGTACAGAGACACTTGAAATATTTGAGAGTAGTGGGTCCCACCCATCCTCAGTCCTGTGCTGAGTTTGGCTGGTGTTGCAACAAGGCTGATTATCCTCATTCAGTTATTGCAGCAGGCACAAAGACCATGACCTTGAAGATGAGCAGATCAAGCAGCATTTCATCATATTCCTTGCAATGCTGCTGAAGGGCAGGGGCGCGGATGGGGCGCCTAATGAAACATATGTAGAACAGCACTGGAAGGAGTTTACCGCCCAGTGAAGGCAGATGCATGAAAATAAGCTCCCTGATAAAGTGGTTAATTCCGGTACAATGGTAGATGGCTGACCTGCTATGGTCCTGATGTGGATTATAGGCTGACTGTTGCCCAAGTTCATCAGACAGAAGCTGCATAATTTCATCCCCCTGAACTGAGAGACCAGTGAGAGGGATTACCTGACTCTGATTCACTTCAAGAACCTTCTGCACCAACTGTGACAGAATGACTGGTACCTGTATCCATTCCCAATCTACTGGGTGTATGTCTTCAGTCTGCTCAAGCACTTCATGTATTCCTCCGGGAGAGTAGGCGAGTACCTGGAGTCAACTGCACGACTTGGCTCCGCCCGAGGGCTCTATGTTCCAGGGGTGAGTCCTTCCCCTGAAGCCACTCAGCCCCCATGCGGTTTGAAGCTGACATATTCTTTAGAGCATGACTATCCTGGTGATCCGCAACCGCAGCGGGAGGCCTGAACTCATTATTGCACTGAAGAGAGATGCAAAGGGCATGACAAAGAAACAGAAAAAGCAGTTCGGCACCCTAACCCCTGATGACTGATCTAACACTGAAAGGTGACTTTGGCTGACCTAGTGGTATATAGCCCACATCACTCTATGCCCGAAGATATCGGGTCTCTCCTGCTTTGCCTCAACCCTGTGCTGGAGCTGTTGGTGCTGTGCCTTGCGTGTGGCCTCTTCCGCGATTTTAAGACTGTAGATGAAATCTTCTCACTTGAACCTTCTGCAGATGAGGGAAGTTATGAACTGGCTCTTTGCAAACCCACCATGCTGTTGTTCGGCCCGCACTCCTCTTTTTCAAAAGAGGAGGATGTGGGGCTTGAAAGCGCGTCAAGGAAGCAGCTCGGCAAGGGCAAGGGAAGCATGAAGATGGTGATGGAGACACTGTTGTATGAGGCCATTTCAGACAATGGACCTACGGGCAAGATCCTCACTGCCAGCTGGTTTGGGAAAGAGCTACCGAGGCTGGGTCGTCGGGCAGGATATGTCAGGTTCATCACTGTTCATGACATAAGAGTGGAGGTGCTTGTCCGTGCTGATGGTAAGTAATCAGCTGTCTCCTTCAGCATCGGTTACAAGGATCGTTGGCTGACAACAGCAGTGCTGCTGGGCAGAAAATGACTACTCTGTTGATGAGAGGCTAATGTTCACTGGTCAATCAAACCCTTGAGAGTTCTATCAATCATACATGAGCTCAGTCTGTAGTGTGCAGGGTGTTGGAAACATCCTTGGGCTGGCACAGCATGATGATATCACTGAGCACTTTCGCGGCTTGTCTCTGAGACGCCATTCAAGGCTCTTTCAGTGTCTTCCTGCAAAGTTGCGCCAGGATCTGGAGGACAGACAAGAGTTTGTCCAGCTCAATGTCCGGATTGAGGAGCTGAACAGTAAGATCCGAGCCTCGGGGACCTCAGAGAAGGAATGCCAGAAGCTGGAAGGTGAACAGTGCTCTTGCTACCTGCAGAAACAGAAGCTCGAGGCTCAGGAGCTGAATGACTGGCAAAAACAGTTCATTGAAGAGTGTAAACCAGGTACAGCTGTGGAGGAGGATGAGCACAGTGTGAGCTACCACTGGAGGTGGTTCAATCGCGTTGCCCATCTTATGCCTGAACAGAAGAGGCTCAGTGAGATGTTGTTCCTGTGTGTCCCGTTGCGGAGCTCAGAGGGAAGGCAGGTGATTGATGACATGATGACTCTGTGCTGTAGAAGGAGCCCGGTGTCGGACCATCCAGCCCTGAAGGCTGAAAGTGGCTGTTGTCCTGCAGGCGGGTGCGGAATTGATGTGGAGAGGTGAGCTAGCTCTTTATTTCAAGAAGTATCGCGCCTCCAGGAAATCTAGCTGATCCCAGGGTTCTCTGTTGCGTCATCAAAAGTCTGTCAACTAGGCAGAGATGGAAGCATATCTATAGATGTCAAAAGACTATCTTGAAGAAGCAGCATGGTTTCTCAGATCTATGCCCTATATGTCATCAGTGATACACTGATGAGTGGGAGTTTGAAGCCCACTGTCAATACCACATCAATCACCCGGCAATGATTCCACTCGAGTATGGCTTTCTAGAAGTATGTGGCATGCTTGCATGGCCTGGATTTTGCCCCTGATGTCTTGGGGACAGAGGCAAGCAGGCGCATCATCGCATGGCTGTCTTCTATGATCAACAGTTGTTGACCAGGCACATGAACTGCCACTATGACAACTCTGCCTTGAGATTGGACTGCGGCTCCATTCATGGCTGTGATCTGCTTTTCACCTCAATTTGAGAGCTTCAGCATCATTATGATGATTTACACTGTATTCCTGCTCTCAAGAAACAGCAGGGTTGCGCACTGGCATTGAAGAGTGATATGCCCTGCACCTCACAAGTTGCAGTGGAAGACAATATGAAGCTGGAAGTTCATGTCACCACTCCTGAGAGCTTCAAGTGCAAGTGAGTGGATATTGACAATGAGGGAGCGGCGAAGCGCCTGAGAAAACTTGAAAGTGTCAAATTAGCATCTAATGAGACCGGTACTGCGGAACCTGGGATTGTGAGAAGCGGCCTTGCTCACATCAATGCTGAGTGTTCACACTCTGTTATAGACTCTGAGTATTCTTCCTGTGTCAAGAGCCCTGACAGCTATAGTGACAAGTGCTGCGACATCCTGGAAAACATTGACCCCTGTCTATTTTTGTGTAGGGAGCGGAGCTGAAACGGCTGCTGTTCAAAACAACAATAGTCTTTAACCATCAGCAGTCCCAACTTCACTGGAAGAAACTAGTGACCATGGATCATCGGAGGACTGGGATTGCTCAGTCAGAGTAGCATCAGTTGTTGTAACCCTGGCTAATTGATGTTTTTGATAATCAACTAAATTATATTTAGAGATTGAATCTTCACACTTATTTGAATACAACTAGATTTAATTCAATGATCAGCACTTAATATGTCAACTCAAGACTGATGGTGGGATAGACACTGTGAACTTGAATTCCTCATGATTTTTATTTTTCTGCTGCCATTCCTCTCGGACTCTTAGGATGGAGACAATTTTCCAGAGGCTATTAATGCTAGACCGAGATGGTGAAAGATTTCATTGTACAAGGATAAACAATTCTCCGTGTTTGACATAGCGCGGCCAACAGAAGCCTATTCGACGGGGCATTCTTCAGCAGGAGTCTCTTTGACAAGGCAGTCTCCAACAGAAGTTAATTCAATGAGACAATCTTCAGCAGGAGATGCTTCGGCGGGATATGCTTCAGTGGGAGGATCTTCCCACAAGATGTCACGCCGCTGAAAAGCATCTGAGAAGGTGAGGAGTTAACAATGAAACATGGAGGAAAGGGATCCCCATCAAAATAAGGCTTTAGATGAGATACGAAGCCATGACTTAGAGATATTGAGATATATGTAAAAGCAGCAAGCTGAACTGGGGCGTTGTTACAGACTACATCTCAACAAATTAAAAGAGGAAGTGGAGTCAACAGAGGAGTGGTTAGATGAAAATGAAATCCCATGGAAAAATGTGACTTTTTTTGCAAATTGTCGACATATACAAATGGTTTTTTAACTCCAATCACGTGATCAAAACTAAACCATATATTGCTAGTCACTGTGCATAATATCTGGAGAAGGACAGGTGCTTCCTTCAGCAGGATATTATTTGGGAGTGGTTCTTCAGTGTTTCATGGATGAGAACACAGCATCTAATATATACTGTGAAAAGGAAAGTAATGTGAATATCTTCAAGGATATTACCTGTAATCTAACAAGCAGTGTGGTGAAAGAAGGTGGGATTGAGTGACTGAGTTATCATAGTGTTCCTGCCTCAGACATACAATCCGTGTTATTCACCCATCGCCTGATTTTACAGAACTGGAGATATGGGGACAGGTTCGATGCCCTTTAAAATGGGCCTTCTACCTGAAGATCTAGGTGCAATCATTTTTCCTTTCATAAGCAAGTTGCTGAAAGAGCTAAAGCATGACTGATTCTGCCATAATCTATGCTGCCTCCTCAGCGGGTGCTGCATGTGTGTTGATCGCGTGCAGATTGATATGTTGAATGATTCATCAGGTCAAACACTGTACTGCTTCTTTTCTCTTCAGATGGTTTGTCTACTCTATTTTGATTCACTGTAACCTACTGTTTGAACTGGTCAACTCATGTCATCTGTTTCTACTCCTTACCTACTGCTCTTTGACTTTGACTTGCAACCTGCTTGAGATACACTCTGTGACTGAAGCTCACTCTCAGACCGGAACACTTTCTGTTATCAATATGATCATTCTTAGACTGACTGTGTGACCATGTCTGAGACCAGGATCAAACTTTACAGTTGTCATGTTATCTAAAAGCATTACTTCTGATCATGATTTATGTTCATTATATTGATTTCAAATCACATTATTTCAAATATTAAAGATCTCAGATTCACTTTTCAAATAAAAATCTAGTCTCAGATAAAGAATATATTTAAATTCTTAGTCACATTTTCATTCTGATCTCATTATTGAAAATAACACTAAATGAGATTATGAAATCATTTCTCACTTACATAATATCATAACATAGTGCTTATTTGTTGAAAATTTAATAGAGAGTATTATCAAATATCATTACTTTTCTGAACACAGATTATAATTAATATCATTTTAATTAAAAAAAAAATATAAAATACAAAAAATAATAAAAAAACAAAAAATAAAACAACAAGAAAAAATCACAACAAAAAAAAAAAAAAAAAGAGAAAGAAAAAAAGAAGAGAAAGAAAAAAAGAGAAAGAAAGAAAAAGAAAAAAAATAAAAAAGAAAAGAAAAAGAAAAAAATAAAAAATAAAAATAAAAAAAAATCAAGATCACAGAGTCACAGTATTCTTAAAATACTCACTTCTCAGAGTCTTTGCAATGTTTATTATTAACTGTGTATCTCTCACAGTGAGAATAACACAGCTGTAATGAGTTATTATCTTAATATTATCTAATAAATAATCAGTATATATCTATATAAATGTGAATAATTAGAAAATATACACTTAAAAAGTATAGTCAGAGTAAACTCTGCTGTTACTTGAATAATATCAAGAATAGAATACTGAAATTAATAATTTCTCTCATTAATTTCACAGATAAGATATATGAAGATAATCTTAAGAAATATAAGATTCTCTGACTTCTGATAAAAACAGATCTTACAGAGAGACTCTATTTTCATCATATCAGAGACTGAGTATTACTAAAAAGCATTACTTTAATGTATATACACTTACTACAGTAATTTACTCTCTGCACACATGACTGAGAGTTGCAGCTTTTTCACATCACACAGCTCTCTCTGAGATGCTGCTACTGGTTTACAACTCACACAGTCTTTCAGTTCAGTATACACTGTGTATATACAGCTCTGTATACTGAGATTATGTTGATTATTATAATCTGATATAATACTCACTTTTCACAGGTCATGTTTCATTTGATTGAGAGAGAGAGAGAATATAACTGCTGTTTTATTTGAGAAGAGATGAGTAATTGAATCTATAGAAGATAATTTGATTTCTTCTGTATTTAAAATTTGATTAGTCTATACTCTTCAATTTGAGAGTTTCTGAGAGTGTTTTAATAGTTTTCATACCAGCTTGAAATTAGTGATTGATTGAAGAAGAGAAAAGAGAGAAGAAAGAAATGAGAACAACTTATCTTTATAATATAAAAACAGAGAATTACTGTAATTATTTACTCTAGTAACAAAGATCTGTTTTCTGCATGTATTTCTGATACAGATTATATAATAACTGTATACAAAGAATATCAACAGTGCATGTATTAAATGAAGATGATGTTATTATACAACACTGTAGCTGTTTCTGTACATCACTGAAAGCTGTTAATATTTTCTTTGAGTCTCTTTATATTTGATAAGTTAGTAATATATTTCAATACACTCTCTCTTTCATTATTATCATCATCATCATCATTATCATCATTATCACTATTATCATCATTATTACCATTATTATTATTATTATTATTATTATTATTATATCATTTCTGACTATCTCTTCTACCTTTATCTCTCTTCAATACTCACTGAAATCAATTATGTTATCTCTCTTCAAATATTCTGTGGTTCTGCGGATCATCAAGGCGCATGAGTGCTATCACAGATTGAAGAGAGAGAAGAAGAAGATGTTCAAGTGAGAAGAGACAGATTATAAGACACATTATAATGCCTTAAAGAGACTCTGTAAGAAAGTAGAATAATAACAATTTTAAGTAACACTTCTGATAGATTTAGACTGAACTAAGTATAGAAATAATGCAGATGACATCACTTATAAGAGATTGAAGAAGAAGATAGTGAAGAGTCTTATACAGTAGCAGTGAGATCAGAAGAAGTTCTGAGAATGATTTAAGACTAAGATAAAGAGAGAGAGAGAGAAGAAGAGTATTACTGTAAATAAGCAGTGATAGAAGAAGATTGAGAGAGTGTTAAAGCAGAAGACAAAGAAGTTAAAACTGATAAGTTTTTTATTTATTAAGAGATAACAATTTTTGATAACACTTCTATTCTCTAATTGATTAGCAGAAGCTGGCAGAGAAGAAGAGAATTAAGGCCTTGTTTAGGTCTCAAATACACTTCATGATTCAGAATATTGAGAAGACAGCTCTGCTCTCTGAGTATATCAATCTGCTTATCACTGAGATGAAACCTGAGACAGTAGATCAGAAAATGCAGGATTTTGAGACACAGATTGATCTGACTGAGAGAGAGCAGCAGAAACTCTTCTCTGAGAAGATAGTGAAGAGAGATTTTAAGA